CTCTGCTAAAATCTGCAGAAGGGGTAGCATTCAACAACAAATAATTTGGTTTGGGAGCAGTGGGATAGAGGGCTGGGCCTGGAGTCAGGAACACCGGAGCTCAAACCCAGCCTCAGACAATGACTAGCTGCGTGACTCTGCGCAAGTCACTTAACCTCTGTTTGCCTCAGTTTCCTCAAGTGTAAAATGGGGACACTGGAGAAGGAAGTGGCAAACCATTCCAGTATCTTTGCAAAGAGCACCCAATTAAAATGGGGTCACAAAGAGTCAGACACAACTAAAATAACTCCGGACTGACTTGCCATTCTACCCACAAGGCGGCTGTATGATGCCACTTCCCAAAGAGCTTCTAGATCTTTCCCTCCCTCTGTGCTGAACTCTCTTCCATATGCTGTCTCCCCCAATTAGAGTATGAGCACCTTCAGAGCAGTGACCATCTCATGTCATTCTCTTTCTGTCTCTGCTGCTTAGCACAGTGCTTGTCACAAAGTTTTTAAAAATTCCTTGTAATTCAATGAGTTTCCCTTTTTTCTCCATGATTTTATTTAGTGAAATGCTTTTCAGTTCTCTATAATCAAAATCATTCCTTTTTTCTCCTGTGATTTTCTATATGTCTTGTTTGGTCAAGAACTCTTCCCCTATTCATAGCTGGGAAAGATGTCTCCTGTCTCCTACCCTGCTCCTTTCATTTGCTTCTGTGACCTTTTAGATCTGGTTCATGCATCTCTTTGCAGATTATTTCGACCTACATCTTCCCTTCTTCCTCTGGCCACCTAATTCACAACCGTTTTTACCAACCACCTCTCTGCCCTTTTCATATTGTGTTCCCACACCTCCCAATCATGATTTCCTGTTTCTAGAACCATAAGTCACAACCAAATCAACTGAGCCAATGCTCCTGGAAGGAGAGTGCCAATCTATTCCCCTTTGTTTCTGTTCACTGTCCCTGACTCTTGCCAACTAAAGTGATCCTTCATGACCACCATGCCCCTCCGTACGCTGATTCCTACATTAGGATGTAAGCTCCTTGAGAGAAGGGAATGTTTCTGCTTCCATATCTGCATCACTAGTGGTTCACCCGGTACTCTGCACACAGTGAGTGATTAATAAATGCTCTGTCATTCAGTCACTCTTGGGATGTGTAATGTCAGTCTGACCTGATCACTGACTTCTAAGAGGCTGAGGAAACTGTCCTAACTTTATGCGTCAAGATGATAAACATGGGGCAGCTAGATGACGTAGTGGACAGAGCACCGGCCCTGAAGTCAGGAGGACCTGAGTTCAAATCTGGCCTCTCAGACCAAAACACTTGACACGTACTAGCTGTGTGATCCTGGGCAAGTCACTTAACCCCAATTGCCTAAAAAATAAATAAATAAAATGGATAAAATAAACAATAAAAAATGATAAACATGACTTGCTGAATACTAAACTACAAGTCTATGAGAAGAATTTTACTTGGTTAGATACACGGTCGTCACACCCGGGACAAGGACATATGATTCAAGAGCAGGCCCAATAACAGGTGTAGTTATTAAAATCAGACTTCCCAGGTTTCTCTCTGTTCTTTTCTCTCTCTCTCTCTCCCTCTTTTTTTTTTTGGTTAGGCAATGGGGTTAGATGACTTGCCCAGGGTCACACAGCTAGTAAATGGTATGTGTCTGACTGCAGATTTGAACTCGGGTCCTCCTGAGTCCGGGGCCGGTGCTCTATCCACTGCACGCCACCTAGCTGCCCCTTCTCTCTGTTCTTTTGCTGTGAGGCTCATCCCAGTTCCTGATCACAGTAGCCAGTTTAAGATCCGTAGGGTCAGAGGAACAAAGATGGCTCTCCCAGGTTAGTAACCAGGAGCCAGATTAAATCAACATTGCCATTGTTTTTAGATGTGAGTGCCAATCTAGTCCCTTTCATCCCACTCACCATCCCCCTACCTTGCCAAGTAAAGTGCCTCACTCTGGGCACCATTATGCATTTCATTTGTTTCATGAGACAGTAAGGTTTTGTGTTTTTTTTTTCCTCTGAGGCAATCAGCGTTAAGTGACTTGCCCAGGGTCACACAGCTAATAAGTGCCCAGATTTGAACTCAGGTCCTCCTGACTCCAAGGCCAGAGCTCTTTCCACTGCGCCACCCAGCAGCCCTTGAAAGCAAGCTTCTTGAGAGTGGGCACTGACTTTGCTTGTGCAGTTTTATGTGCAATGGTTAGTTGTGCGTGGCACATGGTAAGTGCTACTAAATGCTTTTCCATTCATTCATTCATTCATTCATTCATTCATCTGATGTAAGCTGTTGAGTGAAATCCAATTTCTACTTGTGTAAGAGCCTTAGGAAATCATCCCAACCTCACGTATCAGGAGAAAAATAACGACAGACCCCAAACAAGCAAGGTGTCTATCAAAAATGGCCTTGTCCATCTAGAAAACACTGTCAAACATAGGGCATGATGCAAGACTGTCAACAGACAGGCTCCACACATCTGTTTCTGCTCCTCCATCATGGGATTCATGCCAGGTCCTGATAACACTAGCCAGTGAGAGGCGGGTACCTGACTTGGCAGGCCAAGCTAGAAAATGCCACTCTTCCCACATTCGTTATTAAGGTCACAGGCTGCTTCTCTGTCAACTCAGTTCCTCTGGCAATCCTCTAGACAGGGTCTATTTGACTCGAGGCGTGTTTGTTTCATTACTGTACACTCTTGTTTTTCCCAGCCTTTCTCCCCCTCCCTCACGACAACTTCTTGTTTTCTGCCTGTTCTCTCTTCCCTCCGTGGGTACTAAGTACGAAGGGCATTTCCCTAACTGTGGCACGTGGGTCTCAGTGGGTGTTGTGGTGTGAAATCACCAAAGCCCACCACATACACTGTTTTCCAGTTCTTCCAGAAGCTTCTGTCCAGCAGTGAGTGCTTGTGCCATTACTGGGCACTCTGATTTTACACTACACTGCCACAGACTTTTGCTTCGGCGTGATGTGCACCTAATCTGTCCCCGATTTGACTTTTCTCATTTTAAGAAATACCACATAGTTTGATGATTAATGAATGCTTTGTAGTATAATTTAGAGTCTGGAATTAATTGGTAGTATTTCTTCATTCCCACTCTTAATTATTTTCCATAAGACTCTTGACCTCTTTTTCCTCTGGATGAATTCATTACCATTTTTTTCTAGCCTTATAAAGTAACCTTTGAAGGCTTGAATAGTATGGCCCTGAATAAGCAAATGAAATTTGGGAGCCTTGTCATTTTTATACTATTGCCTTGGCCCCCATCCTGGAGTGGGCCGAGGCCTGCTCAAGACAACCTATCGTTCAGTAACCCCTTGGAAACTGGCAAAGCTACAATCAGGAAATGAACTATTGTTTCCTTGCTTGTCTGTGTTTAATACAGGGATAAAGTGTTAATCGTGCAGAATAAACTCAAGAGCGTGTCAGGAATACTTTTTTCCGGAGAGTCTGTTGTTAAGCATTTACCAGCTCACCCCAGCTGACTACCAATGTACAGTTAATACCTCAAATTAGTTAGGCCTGTGTTTATTTTTGTAAAACGTATTTGGCAGTTTTACATACACGTGTACATACACTACATTCTATCAATATGCCCATTTTATATATAACAATTATGCATGTGTTTGTGTCCATATACGTGTATGCGCATATGTGGATATAAAATTCCTCTGTGTGTCCTGGTAGGTGGGTTCCAAGCCATTCTACCCGTTCTCTCATTATTTCGAATGGAATTATTCTCTGTTGGTGATACACAGAAAACGGAACTGCAAACCACCGTGACAGGCTTCCCTTAAGGGAGCCTACAGTTCATAGAATCTCTGCGTGGAAACACGTGCTATGAGAAATCCACCGATAGTAACGTTTGACGGTTAACACAGCTGCGTGTCCAACAATACTATCTTGCCACCTCCCGGTTTATCTTTTCCCCCTGCACCTGTGCACCTCAAAAATCCCGTGTGCCCTCAACCTTGACATGCACGTCGGCCAGTAAGATCAATGGATTTAAGTGTCCCCTCTCAGAAGGGAACTTTGGAGTCCATCTCCCTCCCTGGGAGCATGCCACTCCCTTGGGACAAAGCCTCGCCCCTGGGTGGACCACCTGAATGGATCCACATCCCCGCACTCCCCAGGGCCGTGCTACAACCAGGGGAGTTCTGTTCTGTTACTGGACTCCCTTCTCCCCTTCCCCTTGCTCTCCACTCCTCTCTATTTTTTGTCAATAAAACTTGAATATTGAGTCATTGTTACGACATAGTATTCACAGGGATCAAACTCATCAAGGGGCTTGTTTTTCCTGACATCTCTGGAGGGACTATGGTCTTTTCCTTAGACGTGAACCTGGTCTCCCCACAGCGACTTTCCTTTTTGACAGTTGCACCTCTGCCAGGGACTTGGGCACCATGAGCCCAGTCCTAGAAAGCAAGGGTCAGAAGGGGAAACCTCTGACCTCCTAAGGACTCCTTTATGCCAGAGGACTATCACAAGACACACAGTTTGGAGGGTAGACAGACCTGAAAGAAGCCTCATTTCCTGAGGCCAGTGATGACCACCACTATGCTGGTGATGGAATGTGGTCAAGGTAATGTGGGCAGAGGCCCTAGATTCTAGGCCTTATATGATGGCTTAGATGTGATGGCTCAACTTGAGAAAGCTGAACCTTAAAAAACTACTGAGTCTCGGCTCCTCAGTTAAGTTTGGGGAGATAGGCTGGACAGATAGAACTCACGTGAGTCCCAACATACTTACTTTCTAGTAATCTACTGACACTTGCCAATACTCTAAAAAGGATGATCAGAAGCATATTGGGCTCTTGAGTTTTGGGGAGCCCATAATCCAAACCTTGGTATTTTGATGGCCTCCACATAGCCATTCAGCTGATGATGATGGGGTGTGTGTGTGTGTGTGTGTGAGTGTGTGATACCATTACATTTCATCCAGCTTTGTTCATTATGGGTTGGATGAAGTAAGGCAGTCCCTCTAACAAGATATCTAGGCCATAAGAAGCTTTCATCGTTCAAGAGAGTTTATTTGATATTTTGCCCCGAAGGTGTTAGTGTATTCACAAACAGGTTGTGACTTTGCTGCAGACTGAAACCTCCAATCTTTGCCTTTGCCTCTGCTCCAGTCCTAGTTTGCCTCTTCTGCTAAGGAATGGAATTCTTCAAATACAGTAAACATTTGTTGCTAGAAAAATGAGGTTCTAGAGGAACACCATCTTCCCTGATCACTCTGGCCACTATGAGAAAGGCATACGCAACTAGATGTTAGTGTCCAGTCATCTTGTGATGAGGGACACTCTGAAGGACAAGGTTCCTGGGCAACTCCCTCCCTGGCTGTGTGGGTTGAACTGTAAGAACCTTGAGGGACCAGGCAGATAAGATCATCTGTAGCGATTCCAGGGTGGTGACCATGGGCTTGGCTGAGGTGTCTGGGCCAGGGACAGAGGACTACTCTCCTTTGGTATCAGGACCAATGGAAAAACCTTGCTCATGCCTCCCACCACATATTGCCGCTGGTGGGACATTTCAGTGACCAATAAGAGACATAATACGCCCTCTGCTGAGCTGAATATTTAGGTTGGTGCGGGACTGGGGACTGAAACCATCATCAGTCTGTCCATGGGGCTGTAATGTCAGGTTGCAGTGGGCATGAGGCCACTTAATAACAGATGAGGTAAATTCCGTCTGTTCAGCAATTTAAGTGCTGGATTTAACACTAACCACCTGAATTCCTCCCCATTACTATATATATATATATGTTATTTACCATTTATATTATTACATAGATGTATATATTCTGTCTGCCCCTATCATTTTATTTCTCCTTATACCTAAGGGCAGCGAGGACAGAAGTGGATAGAGCACTGGGCTGGGGATCAGGAAGTCACCATCCCGAGTTCAAATCCAGCCTCAGGTACTGGGCAGGGCATTTACTCTGTTTGCCTCATCAGTAAAATGGGCTGGAGAAGGAAATGACAAGGCACTCTAGTCTCTTTGCCTAGAAAACCCCATCTGGCTCAGGAAGAGCAGGCCCAGACTGAAGCACCCGAACCACGTGAGTTCCTCCCCAGTGCACTGAATGTAACAATGTAACAAGGGATTAGTTAATAGGTATCCCCCCCCAGCCCCACCGGTCCCGGTCCCGCCGTTTCTCCCTGGGCCTGACCTAACTTTCAGGCCTGGTCACCGGCGGTAAGCCTGAGGTCAGGCCGGCCTTGAGAGAGGGAAGGCTCGGTGATGTCCAGATGTCCAGATGTCCAGATGTCCAGATGTCCAGAGGCCCGCGGGGAGCCAGGAGCGAGTGCAGGGCTTGGATCCGAGGGCCGTCTGCATTGGGAAGCCGATCCTGGGCGAGCCGAGGGGGTGGCGGCCGGAGATGCCGGAAGGGGCCGTGCGGCGTCGGGCGGCCCAGGATTCGGCCTCGGACCTCCGCAGGCGGAGCTTCCTTCCAGGCCGATGGCACGCCCCGTTCTGGCCGCGGCAGACAGCGCAGGAGCGCCAGCAGGCGGGCCAGGGGATGGATCGGGCCGCGGACGCAAGAAGGTGGGAAGACGGAAAGAGGAGGGAGGCCTCCGCCGCAGGCCGGACTTCCTCTCTGGGGGCTACCGAGGGACCCGAGCCAGGTGAGCGCAGGAGACCCGGAGGGCGGGGCGGAAAGGCTGGCCTGGCCTCTAATTGGCGGAGAGATAAGGCTCCGGGCGCGTGAGGAGTAGAGAGGGGCGGTGTCAGCCTGAGAGGAGGGAGCTCTGCAGAGGAGCGGGGAGTCCGAGGGGGCGGGAATCCTGGGGAGGAGACTGGGCATGCGCACTGGCTGCACCAACCATTTGTCCGAGAGTGGGCGGGGGAATACAAGGGCAGTTGTGAGACTGATCATGCGCGGAGGCTGGCTAACTGGAAGGAGTGTAACCTGAAACTGACAGTGAGGGGATGATACTGAGCATGCGCGAAGCCAGCCACTGACCTTGTGGATGGCGTCGGAAAAGAAAAGCTGACTTTGTTTGGGATTCCTGAAGGTAGGTCTGTGGCGGAGCGTCAGCGGCGCTGCCGAGAAGAGACGGGAAACTGGCTGGGCGGAGGTGGGAGGGGAGCGAGAGCGGGGGGTGAAGGGCTGAGCCCCGGCACGTAGGGGCGTGGAGCCCCCCCGGCTGCCCCGACCTTGGCTGTGGCGGGGAGACCCTGCAGACCCGGGGCTGCTGCAGACCTAGGCTGCACGACTGGGATGTCTCCGCCGGAGAAATCTCCCTGGCACAGACGTTCATCCTCTGCGATCCTTCATGGTTATTTTCTTTCTGAGGACGCCGTACCCGAATAGACTAGAGAAAGGAGGAAATAGCTCCCGGGTTCCTGACTGGCAAGGACGAGGTGAGTCAGCCTTCTTTCCTCTCTCTCCTGCCCTCTTGTGTCAGTTCCTAGAGTCTGCTGAGGTTCCTTTCCCCTCCTGCAATGTGGCTTTTTCCTACAGAATCTCTGAGCCCCAGCCCTTCTTTCCCCAATAGGATCTGAGCCCCTCCAAGGCAGTTCCCCGTATTCCAGGTGAATTAAGGACTGTTTCCAGTTGCTCTCATGCCCTCTGTTGGTCAGTGCCCTTGCTCATGCTTGAAATGACACCTCCCTTTAACCACAGCGAGTTTGGTGCTTCTGCAGACATTGTATTTCCTTACTTCACTGGCAAGCATCAGGTGCTCCAGTAAAAAGCATTAAATTATTAATCAGAAAAAAAAAAGACATGACACCTCCCTCACTTCTGCCGAACTTCTTCATCCCAACTCTCTGATTTCTTGTCTGGAATACAGAAGCCGTGTCTGTAGGAGTCCCCTCAAGCACGTATTCACTTGCCAACGTCTTCATTGTCTCCCCATTGTCAGGCATTCCAAGCTGTCCCCCAAGTGACCGCAGCCTCCCTCTCTCAGCTCATGTCCTGCTACTCTCAACTAGGAAGCTCTGTTCCCACGAATCCCCACCTTTTCCCCTTGATAGCCCGCCTTTCCTTCAGGACCCAACTTAGGGGCCATTTTCTCAACAGAGCAGTGTGACGTACTGGGAAAACCAAGAAAACTTGGGTTCAGCCTGGGGCTGCTATCCATGTGACTTCAGGCTAGCCCTTATCCAGTGTGGGCCTTAGTTTCCTCAGCTGTAAATGAGTTGGTTGCTTTTGATTCTTCTGAACCATGTTCCCATAAGAGAGGTCACTGAACACCTCAGCGATGATCACCATAAAGATGGTGCCTCCCAGCCTGTTCATCATGGCAAACAAATCCTAGGAAAGTCTTAGCCCAGAAGTCTTCTTTGGCTGGCACAGCTGACAAGCCCACTCATCCTCCTTCGGTCATTTCTCCGGTTGAGACCCTAGGTTACCCCATACTTGACAGATGCTCTGAGAACTAGTATTGATTAACTGGGGGCTTCAGGCCAGCATCTTCCAGCCACTGGGCCCTTTGCTTTGCCAACATCTTCCCACAGTTGTTGAGATCCTCCAGATACAGCAACACTTCCTGGTGTCTCTGTCTTCTCCAGATGCCACTCAGAAGTGGCAGGTACCCCTGAGCTAATGGGGGGCACAGGCTCCAGCTGGGAAGATCTTGGCGAGCAGATGCAGGCTTTCTGCTGTGTGTTCCTCTGCACCTGGGACCTGATAGCATCCTGTGCTGCACAGGGACCATTCTGGGAAGGCCTGGCTGCCCAGCAAACAGTCTGGGGGACCTCCTCCTCATGGCACCCTGGATTGGGCCTCTTTGGTTCTCTCATTCCTTGTCTGGGACCTTTCCTCCCTTCTGTGCAGCTCCTGTGGGTGAGGCCTCCCAGGAGGCCTCCTTATGATGCTGGGGACACAGAGTTCCCTTTTTTTGTATTTTTTACACAAATTTTCTTTTTTTTATATTGATTTAAATGTCAGCAAACCTGAATAGTTCAAGATGCAAAGAAGACAGCACGAAACTTTTTTTTTACTTTTTACATTTTGTCTCACTTTTTAAGTAATTAAAACTTAGCTTGGTAATTCCATCACTGTTATCCAAATATGCCTTTGCTATCCTCTTTCTGCCTTCTTATAGAGATTCACTGACACTCTTTGCCCTTTTCCTTTGTTTTCAGTGTTACCATCATTATCTCCAGACTTTTACTCCGATAATGAAAAACAGTGAAAAAGAAAAGCTGTCCATTTTCAGAAATAAGGGTCATTGTGAAAAGCACATGCAGAGCTTTGCTGTGTCCCACAACTCATGTCTGTCTCAATCTGAGGGTTAGCTCATCGCTGCTGCCTGCTGGTACTGTTGTCATGTCTACTGACCATTCGCCCTTTTGGCTGTAGCAGTTGTCCACTGTGGGTGCTCGAGGGGATCTCTGGCTTTGTCTTCATGACTTATCCTTGAAAGGATGTTCCTGAGCCAGGCATTGTCATTTTCTTCGTTACTGATTTCTCTCTTCTTCCCTGACTTTTCCTGAAGTGGCCTCACTCTCTGCAGAATCTGATTCACGTATATGCAGTTTGCCTTTTGTGCCCCTCAGGGCTGTCTGGGAGCGGGGGGAGCCCTTTAAGGACTGTTTGAGGCCCTACTGTCTGTTGCGATGGCAATTCAGGTTAAATGACTTGAGTCACACAGCTAGTGAGTGTTATGCGTTGGAGGCCAGATTTGAACTCGGGTCCTCCTGACTCCAGGGCCAGTGCTCTATCCGCTGCACCACCTAGCTGCCCCTAGCCACCCCCATTATGAGAAATGATGAGTTCTACCTGTCTTCCCCCTTCCTCTGTTAACATGTTCCTCTTTCTACCCTCCCCTCTCTTTACCATCTTCAAGTCCTCAGAACAAAACTACCTCTCTTGGTATCCTTTGAAAACATCAAGGTTCCAAAGGGTGGATTCCATCCTTCCTTCACACTGTGTAACACCCTCTATTGGCTCAGGAACAAGCCTCATGGCTTCCAGATTCCTCAGGGCTACTGCATTTGTATTTCAAAGTTTTGACTCATCCCCCAGGCTTTCATCAGAAATACTGACAATTCCCTATTACATTAAAGGTTTGTTTCTGTTCCCCTGTAGAATTAAGGTTAGCTTTGCTGGGTAAGTTATTCTTGTTTACAAGCCTCTCTCTCTTTTGCCTTTGGGGATACAGACAGTTCTCAATTAATGAAGTGGACCTCCCCCTCCCCTATCAAGGCTCTGCATGGCCTCAAAGCCTGAGCAGCTTTAGTACCTGGACTCCCCCCCCCACCCCCACAGTAGAGCAGCTTCAATCCCTGGAAAGCCGAGGACCCCTGGCAAGGTGCTGCACCAGCACTGCTGCTGCTGCTATTACCCTGCCACCACCACCCTTGATGCAGCCTGCTAGGAGCTGGAGCCAGAGCCCAGGCCCAGGGAAGGGTCCTGCTGCCCACCTGCTGGGAAGTCAGCTTTGCAGGCTAATTTATGGGAAGCAAGAACTGTCTGTATTATGTTCCAAGATCTCCTCTGATTGTTAGTAGAAACTGGCATGTCTTGTGTGACCCTGAAAGTGGTTCTTTTGTACTTGTACTGCTTTTTTCTGGATGATGTTAGAGCTCGAGCTTTTTGTTATGGTATTCCTGGTGCTTTTCTTTCAGGAGGTGATCAGTGGATTCTTTCTGTCTTCACTTTGCTCTCTGATTCTAGTAGTGTGTGGACTTCGGGAAGAGGAGGAATAGAGCATTTGGCCCGAATGTCTAAGGAGACAAGTGAGTATTCCAGAAGGGGAGGAGAAGGACAGGTGGGCAGATGAAGGGGGAGCTCTCCCTGGCCTCCGTCCACCCATCCATCCTCAGATGTCGCTTCTCTTTCTGCAGTCTGGAGTTCAACCACAGTTCCCTGGGCCTTGGCTGTGGCTGTGTCCGTGCCTGGAAGGTGCTCACCGGTCATCTCTGTACCCCTAGAATCTTGTTTTTTGACACTTTTATTCTTAGACGTCCTCATGTCCCTCTGCTGCCCTTGGTTGCTCTATCCATATATTTTGCCTCCTCCAGTCTTAAGCTTCTGTAAGGTAGGGAGTGTGGTGTCCTTAGCACCCTGCCTGGTGCGGAGAACAGGCATTTGTTAAGCGCCTACTGTGTGCCCGGCCTGTGCTGTTGTTTGTCCTTCATTCTCGAGGAGGACCATGACGTTGGGAAGGTGATGTTATGACTCGCAAGTGAATTGGATTCAGGTGAGGGAGGGCCTTGCAGAGTCACCGGCCTCACTCTTTTCTCTGGAGCCGTCCAGGCCCAGTGGCAAGATATGGATCAGGATGACGGAAGATGGCCAGGATGCCGTGGGGAACCTAGGCCTTTTTAAGTTACAGTCTTGCCCAGGTCCCATTTTGTCTGAGGCAATGCCCATTCGGTGATGCACGCTAGGTAAGAAATGAGGCAAAGAAGGCCTTCTTTTACTTAGTTTAAAAAAAAAATTTGGGAGGGGGAAGACACTCAGGGTTTCTGACCAAAACAGAAACAATTGCTATTTACATTCACGCTGAGCTATCAGAGCCCAAACAAGGACCAAATGAGGCTTGGGCTAGGACCCCCTACTGGCCAGTCAATGAGAGCCAGAGTGATTTGGGTTTAAGGCCTAGTCCTTAAAAAGGAAATTCAGCTCGTAAGCCCCAAGATATCTCATGAGGTTTCAGCAAAGTGCTAAGCACTTTACAGAAATTATCTCAGTCAATCCTCACAGCAACCCTGGGAGGTAGGTGCTGTTATGATCCCCACTTTACAGTTGAGGAAACTGAGGCAAGCAAGAGTTAAGTGACTTGCCCGGGATTATGTCGCTATACTAAATGTCTGAGGCAAAATTTGAACTTGGGTCTTCCTTACTCCAAGCCCCATGCTCTATGCACTGTCCCACTGAGCTCCCTCTTGGGGATCCTTGATCTGTGCTGATAGAATGTTTGGGAGAGAAGAATCTGCCTCTTATGGGAGAAAAGAAAATTGACAACTCAAGGAAAGTTATGTTAAAGACTGATCCCAGGACAAAAGGATCCACATTTACAAGTCCCCCAACGACTAATTTTCTTTTGTTCTGTCCCTCTCAATGTATAGTGCTTTTGACATCTGTGGCTCTGTTACCTTGAGGATCAAACGTCAGATGCACTTTGCCCTTTAACGCCCTTCACCACCTGGCCCCTCCTAATCTTTCCAGTCTTCTCTTGACTCTGGGACCCAGAGCCCCCCCACCCCGGTCTCCCTGCTATTCCTCCCAACCAGCATTCCCTCTCCCAACCCTGTGCTTTTTCACTGGCTCTGCCTCATGCGTGGAGTGTGCTCCTCTGCTTCTGCCTTTTGCTTTCCTGGCTTCCTTCAGCTCTAATCCATTCTTCTCTAAGGAGCCTTTTTCAGGTTCCTGCACTGCCGACCTCTTCTATGCTGTAGTTGTTTGCACGTCATTTCCCCATTTGAATGTAAGCTCACTGAGGGCAGGGACCCTGTTTTTGCCTTTGTTTCCCTACCATTAGGGCAGTGCCAACCCTTGTTGGCTCCCTGGCCATCATGCTCCCTGCCTTGCTCAGGCTCTGAGCGCTCCCACACCAGTGTCAGGGGCCCTCCATCACCATGCTCTACTTCGCAATTTAGCCTGTGAGAGCAGCTGCTGTTTTTGGCTGTCATGTCACTTTCTTGACACACACCGGACTTAGAATCCACAAAAATCCCTAGGTTTTTTTCACAGAAACTGTTTTCATGCCCTGTATTCCCATCCCAAATGTATACAGTTGATTTTTTTTAACCAAAGTATAGAATTTTCTGGTTTTTCCCCACTAAATTTGTGCCACAAGGTTGGGCCTGTTGTGATCTGCTGAGATTTTTAGGAGGTGGAGTCTTTCTTCCCTAGTGTGAGTCTTAGCTGTGTGTCTTCAAATTTGGCAAGCATTCCTCCTTTTTTATTATTCAGTCACCTTCAGTTGTATCCAATTCTCCATGACCCCATTTGGGTTTTTCTTGGCAGAGATACTGGAGTGGTTTGCCATTTCCTTCTTCAATTCATTTTGAAGATGAGGAAACTGAGGCAAACATGGTTAAGTGACTTGTGCTTGTCACATAGCTAGTAGGTGTCTGAGGCCAGATTTGAGCTCAGGTCTTCCTGACTCCAGGCCTGGCATTCTATCCACTGTGCCACCAGCTGCCCTCTTCTTCCTTTACCTTTATGAAAAAGTGATATAACTATCAAATAGGGTGTGACCATGGCGAGATCCTTTGGCTATTCAACTATTCCCTCAAACAGCAAGCATTTATTAAGTACCCACGGGGTCGGGAAAAGTGTTGGCACTCAAGCCCACATTCTCTCAAGGAAAGGTTTACACTTGGAACTGCAGTGACCTGTTGACATCTGCTTTGGGTTCTAGGGATTCAGGCATTTCCCAAGCCTGCTCAACCCATCCCATGCTAGATTACAGTCTGCAGAAGAGGCACAAGTCTAGATGCAGGAGGCGCTAACCTGAGCAGGATGGGGGAGGGAGGGATACCTCCAGTTTTGGGACTGGACAGGAACTGAGAAAGAAAATAGAAGTGAAAATACAGAGGCATCTGAAAAGAATCAAAGTGGTGATAAGACAGTTCCAATTGGATATTGTCATCCTTGATCTCAGTAGAGTCAGAAGAAAGGTCACATCCAAGGGGAATTTAGGGAGGGAATTTTGGCTTCAGGGTGGTGAAAAGAATTTGGTCAGAATGTCAACAGATAAAGAATGAAAGAGTTGCTGGTGAGGACCCTGTTGAAAGTGGCACAGATCTGTAGCTTTCCTAGTCTAAATACAGTTTCTAGCACTCTTCAGAACCATCTGGCAGTTCAGGGAGGGGGAGGAGAAAGTTGGTGAAGGGGGTAACTAGAGTGTATGATTGGTTTGGTGGAAGGGCTTGGGGATGAGGGTCTGACTCTAGGGTACTGGTGAAGACTTTGTTTGGGAGCTCTAAGAGGTATCGGTCACCTTCATGACTTCTTTCCCTCTCCCAGTTCAGCCTCCTAAAGCTCCTGCCTTTGCTCAGGACAGGAGTCTAGCAGAACGAAGTACTTTTGGGTTGCTGACCACCAGATACCAGGTAAGTTAAGGTTCTGTTTTCGGAAATATCATCTCATTTCCATTCTCCTGAATGGCCTTAGCCCATCCAAGTTTCACGCATAGCCCTCAGCCTGGGGTATTCTCTCCTAGAATATTTTAACCATTCCATTGCATGACAGAGAGTTCTCAGAATCTGGGAGTCATGACTTCTTGGTGAACCCAAGTGTCGAGCTTTATATTTAGCCATATTCAATTTTCTCATAATCTGTCAGGAACATTAACATCCTCATTCTGACATCCAATTCCCAGAACGATTTTCTTTCCTTTTTCTGCCACCTTGCTGTCTTTTGTTTCCTCATTTTTGCCTTTGCCATTCAGGGACGCTTCTCTGTCTCTTCCAAATGGGAATCTATGTGGCAGTCCTCAGATCCCTTCACCTTCTGTAGGAGGGAAGCCAGCCAGGCTCTTTGAACGTGGATGGCAGAGGCTTGCCTGTGGGCAAAGCACTGACTCCACAAAGCTGATTCACACCGAGCCGATGCCGAACCTTCCCTGTTCTCCTGCTGATCGAGATGTGCTCAGCTTAGTCTTTTGCACTACTCGAGGGTGTTTATGCTGCGGCTCCTCGGCGTCTCTTTAGGAGCAGACAGCTTAGCAGCCTCTTCCGGACTCGATTTTGTTGCTGATGAGTTGTTTCAGTCACGTCCAGCTCTCCATGACCCCATTTTGGGGTTTTCTTGGCCGAGATACTGGAGTGGTTTTCCATTTCCTAGATGAGAAACTGAGGCGAACAGGGTTAAGTGACTTGTCCAAGGTCACAGGACGAGGAAGTGTCTAAGATTGGCACTCTGCTCTGCCACTTAGCCGTCCATCCTAATTTGACGGTGACACCCAGCTTCCCCATTTCACCAATTATGGGACTTAACAGTCCTCCCAGCCCCTGCCTTCTTTTCCTTCTCCTAGAGTCCCTCTCATCAGGTCCGTGCCTCCAAATCATCTCCATATCCTTCTTATCCTTCTCAAGTACTCTCTTTTCCATTGTTTCTTCTACAGCTTCCTCTAACAACTCAGAACTGATAAATAGTATTGAGTAGTCAGTACAGGAAGTACTTGGAGAGCCCTTCCCCATATCTACACACTGCTAACTCCATTAGTTTTCTTTGGACTGTGAAAGACATGGTCCCTGGCTAAGAAGGAATGTGTCTGATGTTTCAGAATCCAGTGACATTCAGGGATGTAGCTGTGGACTTCTCACTGGAGGAGTGGAAATGCCTGAGCCCTGCTCAGAGGGCCCTGTACAGGGATGTGATGCTGGAGAACTATGAGAACCTGGCCTCTGTGGGTAAGCATGGTTGCCCCAAGACTGCCCATCTGCCCACTGAGCTATCCTGGCTGTGTCATTTCCAACAGCTGTGAGGGCTATGAAGAATATCTTGGTTTTTGTTGAATGTATAGGGATATTCACATATACTTTTAAGGTAGGAAGACTCCAAAGTCCATTGGAGCCTGAAGATTGGATATTTTCAGGCCCAAATTCTTTGCTTTTATACAGGTAGAAATCCTGTAGCTTGATCATGCTGGCGCTGAGGTAGGAATTTTCCTTCACTCTTAACCCTAACCCTTAAGTAACAGATTCTTGGTAAAGTGCCAGGGCAGATACCTGAAGGTGTGAAAAGATGCTACTCTTTTAACACACCATGCATCAAATTAAATAATTTTCTTTCTCACCCCAAATCAGATAATTTGTACACAAAACAAGTAGAGGTCCATTGTACCATCCTCTGCACCTTCTCAGATTTCTTCTTTTCCATGAAGAGGAAGAGGCTAGGATTGGACTCTTGAGATGGATTTCTCCAACCGTTTCTCATTTCTATCCCCAGGACCAAGGCTTCCATTTTCCAAACCATATGTGATCTCCCAGTTAGAAAGAGGAGAAGCACCATGGATGCCTGAGGAGGAAGTTCCCAGAGACCACTGGCCAGGTGAGGGAATGAATGGCAAGTAGCTGATGGAATCCATTACCTCTGGAAGTTCAGCTGGTCATTCAAGTAGCAGGACTCTTGAAATAATTGTGCACATCTTTTGACCACCTATTCACTTGAGAGTGACTCTTGGTATTTAACATTGCTGGTACATATTTCCTTATATTTGAGAGAAGACCCTTATTGGAAATATTTAATGCAAAGGGGTTTTTTGTTACCCCAGTTAACCACTTTTCCTTCTTATCCTACTTGCATTGATTTTTATTAGAGCAAAAGCTCTTAAATTATCATGTAATCACAGTTATCTAGAGTATCTTTTGTGATCATCTCGGTCCTTTCTTTCAAGGTTGAGAATTCTCTTAGCCATAGTAGTTAGTTACCTCATCTAGTTCTGTTCTGAATTTTTTATGATGTGTTCTTTATTATTCAGATAATAATAACTCATATTTTTTCTCCCCCTTCCTGAATATCCACTTGACTTATTTGTTATGTTGCATAAGATGTTGATCTAATTCTAATTTTTGTCCAGCCTCTTTTCAGGTTTCCCAGAATTTTTGGACAAATGAGTTCTTCCTCAGGGAATTTTTTGCTTTTGTGTTTTATAGGACACTTTGTTTTTAGTTTGTTTCTAATTTATTCTTATCTAGTCTTTTCCACTGATGTATGTGTTTTGTTTTTTTAATCAATGAAAAGTAGGTTTGAGGGGTAGAATTTTTAAAAATGGAATTTTATTGGCAACCTCTGTTTATTATACTCCCAGAATTTCTTCTAGTACCTCTTCGCTTTGCCTGAGAGACCATCCCCCATAACAAATAATTTTTTTAAACATTCATTTTTAAAATTTTCAGTTCCAAATTCTTTCCCTCCCATTGGACCCTCCATTGAGAAGTCAAGCAACATTTTACCCATTATACAAATGAAGTCATGCAAAACATAAATGATATTTTAAATAAAAATGAAAAGGGAAAAAAAGGTAGCAAAACCAATGTGTACATCAAAAAAGTCTGACAATATATGCAATTTAATAGACCTCTTGACCTCCCACCTCTACAGAGCAGTAAAGTTGGGATATCTTCTTAGATCTCTTCATTGTGGCCTCTGGGTATTTTTACAACATTCATTTTCAGCATTTTTTTCTTGTTTGTTTTTTGTGATCTATCCATTCACATTGTTGTAGTTATTGTGTATGCTGTTTTCTTAGCCCTGTTTACTTGTATCAGATTATGTAAATATTTCTATACTTCTTCATACTCATCCAATTAATTGTTTCTTATAGCACATTAATATTTGGTTACATTCATGGCCATTCCCCAATTGATGGGCATCCACTTTGTTTCCAGTTCTTTGTCACCACAGAAAGTGCTGCCATAAATATTTTGGTGTAAGGGGACTTTCTTTTTATCATTGCCCTCCTTGGGATATAAGCCATCTCTGAGTCAAAGGGTATAGACATTTTATTCATTTTATTAGCATAATTCCAAATTACTTTCCAGAATGTTTGTACTGTACCACAGCTCCTTCAACAATGCATTAGTGTGCCTGTCTTCCCACAGTCTCTCCAGCATTGATTATTCCCATCTTCTGTCATTGTTGCCAATTTGCTGGTGTTTTGCTTTGTATTTCTCCTATTATTAGTGAGTTGGAGCATTCTTTCCTATAGTGACTAGTAGTTTGTAATTCTTCTTTTTAGAAGTGTGTGTGTGTGTGTGTGTGTGTGTGTGTGTGTGTACAGATAGATAGATATCAGCTAGGTGGTACAGTGGATAGAGCACTGGGCTTGGAATCAGGAAAACTCATACTGATGAGTTCAAATCCAGCCACAGATACTTAATAGCTGTGTGACCTTGGGTAAGTCACTTAACTCTGTTTGCCCTGGTTCCTCATTGGTAAAATGAGCTGGAGAAGGAAATGGCAAACTATTCTAGTATCTTTGCCAAGAAAACTCTAAATGGGGTCACAAAGAGTCAGTCACAACAACATATATGTGTATGTATATATGTATGTACACACATAGGTGTGGTTATACATATACCTTTGTGCGATTGTCTGTATATTGTGAATACCAAACTTTTATGTTTTCGATCAGTCACTAAGCATTTATTAAGTGCCTACTATGTGCCACGCACCATGCTAAGGGCCAGGGACCCAAAAGGAAGCAGAAGACAGTCCGTGACCTTAGGGAGCTTATAATTTAATGGGAGAGACTGCACTGAAACCAATGTATGCAGATGAGCTATACAGGGAATAATTAACAGGAGAGGCACTAGAATCTTCATTCCAGGGGTTGGGGAAGGCTTCCTGTAGAAGGGGGAATTTGAGTCGAAAGTTGAAGGAAGCCAGGGAGGTCGGTGGTCAGAGTGGGGGAGGGAGCACACTCCAGGTCTGGGAGGCTCCCAGAGAGAGTGCCCAGAGCTGAGAGGTGGAACAGCCAGAGGGCCCCTGTCACTGAATCAAAGAGGGTATGTAGGCAGTAAGGTGTAAGAAGATTGGAAAGGCAGGAGTGGGAGAGGTGATGAAGAGCTCTCAACATGAAACCGAATTTTGTATTTGTTCCTGGAGTCAATAGGATATTCTCAATTGTAGCATTTTTTGTTTAAAAATACATAGTTCCTCCTCAAGGAATTTATGATACTTTTTTCTGTTTTCTGTGTTACTGACACATATTTATTTCTTTTAGATTTGTTTAATCAAAAGAGCAGGTATGAGAACCAGGACCTGGCTCTGACTGATGGAACCTGCCTGGGAGCATCAGCCACGGAAAGAGGACTACAGAACAGTCCCTGGTGTCCTAGTATGGGAGAATCCAGGACGTCTTTGGTCAAGTTAAAGTGCCAGAAGGGTCCCCAGGATGGAGAATGCCCCCAGTTAACTGTCACTCACAAAGGATCGTCTTCTCAGGGGAATGTACTAGAAAAGAATTCTTTGGGGAGACATGTTAATCTGGGGCCAGTCTGTTTTGCCCAAGAAAATGCTGCTATGGGAAAAAGTCTCTATAAATGTAATATACTTGCAAAGAGCCTAAGAAACTTTTCAGACAAAATTCAGTGTAACAGATTCTCCTCAGGGAAGAAGCTTCATAAGTGTCACATAGGCAGGAACTTTTTCATCTACCACTCAGATGCCATTAAATGTCATATAGCTGGTGAAGAGTTCTATGAATGTAATGAATGTGGGAAAGCTTTTGAGAAAAGATCAAATGTCACTGAATGTCAGCAAATTAATTCTAGAGAGAAACCCACTGAACTCAGTAAATGTGAGAAGGAAACCCTTATTAGACATCAGGAAGTTCCTACTGGAGTGAAACTCTTTGAATGTAAAGAATGTGGGAAATCCTTCAGGGAGAAGCGATATCTTAAAAGCCATCAAAGGACTCATACTGGAGAGAAACCTTTTGAATGTAATGAATGTGGGAAGGCTTTCAGTGTCAGGCAGAACCTTTCTAGACATCAGAGAATTCATGTTGGCCTGAGACCCTTTCAGTGTAATGAATGTGGGAAAGCCTTCAGGATGAAGGATCATCTTAACATGCATCAGAGAACTCATACAGGGGAGAAACCTTTTGAATGTAATAAATGTGAGAAAGCCTTCAGCCATAGGGGGAGCCTTAGTAGGCATCAGAGAATGCATATTGCAGTAAAACCTTTTGAATGTACTGAATAAGGAAAAGCCTTCAATGATGGGCTAAATGCTAATAGCCATCAGAGAATTCATACTGGAGTGAAACTCTTAGAATGTAATGAATATAGGAAAGCCTTCAGAGTAAAGCATCGCCTTAAAAGCAGTCAGAGAGCTCATACTGTAGAAAAATGCTTTTGAATATAGCAAATGTAGAAAGTAGTTCAGGAAGAAGCAAACCCTTATCACCTGTCAGAGCATTCGTGTCGGAATGAAACCTTTGGGATGTGATGAATGTGGGGAAGACGTTCAGCGTATATCATCACCTTAGAGTGCACCAGAGAATTCATACTGGAGAAAAACCTTTCTAGTGCAATGCATGGGGAAATGCATTCAGGAAGAAGCAAACCCTTATCACCCGCCAGAGCATTCGTGTCGGAATGAACCTTTGGGATGGTGTGACTGTGGAAAAGCCTTCAAGGGGAAGGATTACTTCAACTCATAGGATCACAGGATACTCATATTGAAGAGAAACTCTTTAAATTGAAGGAATGTAGGAAAACCTTGAATGACCAGCAGAATTTTATCAGGTAATTCTGAGTGGAAGGAAATTTCTTTCAGACTGAAAGAATACCTTATCAGCCATGAGACAACTCATACAGATACAAAAGGCTGTGAATATAATGAATGTGGGATAATCTTCAGCCACCAAGGAAGACAATAAGCATTTGAAAACTCATACTGGAAGTAAACCTTTTGAATGTAACGAGTGGCAATCCTTCACTGAAAATCAGTGCCCTTTTTAGATATCAAGAAGCTCATAAAGGAGTAAAACCCCATGAATATGGTGAATGTGGCAAAGCCTTCCATTGAGAAGGAGGCCTTTATAAGACATCTGAGAGTTCACTGTAGAGTGAAACCCTTGGAAAGAAGTTATTGTACCTTCAATGAAAGGTATCTGATGGGAGTGGGGCCCAAGCCAAGATCTTCGCCCCTCACCCCAAAGGGAATCTGGCTCCCATTTGTCTACAGGCCCCAGCTCCTCATCTCCCTTTGAAAGCCTTAGCTCTACCATTTGATTTCATTCAGATGTGCCTTCACCCCTTGCCCTAAAAAGAGTCTGGCTCCCATTTGTCTACAGGATCCAGAAAACCCTTAAACTTTCAGGTTCCTTATCAACTCTCCTTATTTCCCTTTGAAAGCCCTAGCCTCATCTTTTGACCTTACTTTGATGCCTTCCAGTTCCCTTCATTACAGGCCTCACAAAACCCTTCCAGTTCCCTCCATTATCTATTCCCATTGTCTATTCAATTTCTCAGACCTCCCAATCAGGATTCTTTACCTAGACCCTTTTCCCAGCCCCCTTCTCTGGCCACCCAAAGTTACTTCAGTGTATAAAAATTCCACCCTGGCTCCCATTCAGATGCTGAGAATCTCAAGCCCAAAAGGCTGAGCTTTTCTCATGCCTGCTCATCCTTACCTGGCCTAACTGTTTTATCACTAATAAACTTTTCCTCTGGCTGGAAGAAGATTTGAGTTGAATTCATTCAGGCAGGGTCCGGGGTTGTGATTTTGGGGGTTCCCCCAGCAGGACCCCAAAGTCCTAGACCTCTTAAACCATTTGAATGTAGTCTTCACACTGAGGCAGTCTCTCAGTCTCTTAAGAGGACATGAGAAAGCCTTCAGCAATAGGGGAAGACTTATAGTACAGGAAACTCTTACTGCAGAGATAGCCTATGAATGCCCTCAGGAAAGCATGCCATAAAGCCTTCATTTGCCTCACAGCCAAAGTGAACCACCCTGCATACAATGAATGTGGGGAAAATTTCAGTGACAAGTAGAACCTTATTAGACATTATGGAATTCACATTGGAGAGAAGCCCTTTAACTGTACTAAACAAGGTGGAATGATTTTCTTTTGTCTATGGCTTCCCTCCTAGGATACATTCTGAACCTGGAAGAGATTTTGAGAGCAAATATTTAATGAGACACTGGCTTTGGCATAAGCCAAAAAGTTAGGAAGCACACCTTCCCAGCCTTAGGGAGACCCACCACCAGAATGTTTTACTCGCATGCTTCTAATGTTTTTAATCACACAGACTCCCTGAGGCCTGAGCTACAGGCGCAAAGAGGTCAGCACTTTCTTCTGGTGTCTGTGGGCAACATTCCCAAAGAGGATACTCGAGACTTTTAGCCCAGTGTTTTCATGTCTGGTGGAAAGCTATGCTTACTTCTTAACTCGTGTTTATAGTTTGAGAAAGTAGAAATGGCATAGCTCCCAACAAATATATTTCTCAAGTGAAAGGCTGGTTGGAGGACCTGTTCTCAGCTCAGAAAGATTTTCATGGACATAAATGATCAGGTATTAGAATTACATGTAAAAAAAATCTAATATGCAGGCAGAATACAGCGTAGCAGACCAATGTAGTTTAAATATTGAGGATGTTTCAATGAGTTAAGCATTATACAGATAGTTCATGCTTTATGTAAGTGGACTGTTCTACAGGACCTCTAGGTAAAGTGATTTTTATGTAATGTGAACCTGCCCACAGATGGGGAAGGAGGGAGGAAGTGCCTTTAGAGGGAGGGGGCCAGGGACAGAGGAGCAAGAGGAGTAGGATGCAGGGCCTGGCTGGAAGCAAGAGAAAGAATGTGCAAGGAGGAAGGGAGAGAGACACACAGAGGCTACACGTGGACACAGACAAGAGAGGATGGCAGACATGCAGGGGTTGGGGACGGACAAACAGGCTAGACATGGGTGGGTGTGTAGAGGGGGTCAAAAAATCTAGGCACCAGAGTCTCAAGCCAAGCCCCAAGTCTCACATGTGTTCTGCTCTCATTTGGAAGGTTTTCTTAAGGTTTTGTTCTGTTTTTTGAGGCAAGGAGGCCACAGAGTGCCAACGTGATTGGCAGGAACAGAGTGTGACAGGGCACAGTACTATACGGTAAAGTTAACATAGGTGGGTTTGGGTTTTTTTTGGAATAGAGATTTCTTTCAGAATTCTTTTACATAAAGTCGAATTTGTGTAATGTGAATTTATGTAAAGCAAGGCCTGACTGCACTATATACCATGTACTTTAAATATTGGACTAGTTGTCAGGTCTCAAAATAGAATATTTTGGGATGTATTTTGGACCCTGTGAAGACTGCAATATCTAGCAAGCACCTGTTACCCATAAGCAGAGGAGTCAGACTCCCTGGTAAGTAAGAAGAAAGCAACGTAGAGTCATGGTATGGCAATTCAGTCAACTTGGCTCCAAGAAGAGCCCCTCCACTCAGGGCTCATAATAGCTGTGAGCTGGGCAGTGTGTGCAGTGATGATCCCAAGAATGGTTCTGACAGGGAGGACAATACCAGGCTTGGCTTGAAAGTGACCTTCTTCTAGTGCAGGGCTTCTTAAACTTCTTCCACTCGTGACCCCTTCGGCACTTCTTAAAACCGTGGGTAGAAACCTGAGACTGATCCCTTTCCTGCCGAATCCTCCAAGGATTCTGTGACTCAGGTGCTATTTGGGGAATGTAACCAGCCTCCTGCTGAAGTCATTTCACTGGCTTGCTCCAGGACTCAGGTAAAATCCCATCTTTTAGAGTAGGCCTTGCCATGCAAATAAACTCTCTGAAGAAGATGAGAGGACATACTATATTCGCTCCTGTGGGAAGGTGGGAAGACAGTGATCATAAGGAATGTTGGCTGTGGTTCTTGAAATGTGAGGACCAGGCTTCTGAATCAGAGAAGTGCAGTAAGCACCTTCATTGAGCCTAAAGACTGCTTGAAAAAACAGCCTTGAGACCCAAGACCTTCCCTGACAAACACTACTAACTGTCCAACACCCTCCCCCAAAAAAAGCCTGAATAACCTTTTTTTTTTTTTTTTGCTTTTTGGTGAGGCAATTGGGGTTAAGTGACTTGCTCAGGGTCACCCAACTAGTAAGTGTTAAGTGTGTGAGGCTGGATTTGAACTCAGGTCCTCCTGACTCCAAGGCCAGAGCTCTGTTCACTGAGCCACCTAGCTGCCCCTGAATAACCTTTCAAAAAAGAAGAAATAATTTCCTAGATTTATAAAATCAAAAGAGAAAGCAAAAATAGGAAAATCCACCGGTCATGTCTTTAAAGAAACGCTGAAGAACATAGTAGCCCAAGTCCAATGATTTGAGGTAAAAAACAAAAACACATTGCAGAAATCATGCAGAAATAGTTCAAATACCAAGGAACCAGTCAAATCACACAAGATTTGGCAACCAATGCCTTACAGAAGAAGACATTCGAATATGATATCCTTAAAGGCAAAAGATGCAGGTTCACAACCAAGAATAATTTACCATGCAAAACAGAATAATCCTAAAGAGGAGGGAAATAGACTTTTAATGGAATAGAGGATTTAAAAGACATTCCATGAAAAGCTTAGAGTTAAGAAGAACTTTGAAATGCAAACATGAGTCAAGAGAAAATTGAAGAGAGAAATAGATTTGAGTAATGGGAACAGGTTATATGATGATGACATCTTACATTCTAAGAGGGACAGGAGAAGCAATTATCCCATCAGAACTCCAGTGTCTTCAAGGGTCACAGGAGGAACAGGCATGGCATTACCTCACTTTCATCTGCAACACTGAATAATCAAATACACACACATTCATGTAGAAGTATATTAAACCTAACAGAGAAATAGACAAGGCTGAGGCAAGCTGGGGATTAGAAGACAGGGTGGTGTTCAGGGGGGAATAATAATGACAAGAAAAACAGATTTCCACTTTGGAAGATGCATCCTAAAGAAATTTAAAGAAAACCTAAGTGCCAATGACAAGTCAAGGAGAAGTGAAAGTCAATGAATGACAATGCTTTAAATTTCACTCGTGTTTATTACATTCTTTGTCTTCTACCTCCTCTGCTTATAGGACTGGAAAGGGGAAGAAATTATATGACGGAAAATAAACAACTATCAATTTTAAACAGGATGAATTCAAAAGAAGATAGCAGACTGCCTTCAGAAACAATGCAACAATGTTGTTTTCAATAAATTTGAAACACATTCTTGAAGTTCAAATGAGGAAATAAAGTAGACACCATGCCTCAAGTGAACTCGAAAAAGAAGGGGTGATAATCCTGATCTCAAATGAGGCAAGTGTAAAAACAGACATGGTTAAGAGATAATCAGGGAAATCACTTAAATGTGCCATGTAGAAAACAAAATGATATTAATGTATAAGCACAAAATGACAACCTCTAAGTACTTGACTAGTCAACAAATGTTTATTAAACACCTACTGCGTACCAGGCACTGCTAAGCACTAGTGATACAAAGAAAGGGAAGAGAAAGTTCCTGCCCCAGAGGTGCTCACAATCTAATGCGGAAGAAAACATGAAAACTGTGTACAGAAAAGATATAGACAGGATAAACTGTAGGCAGTCTCAGAATGAAGGCACCAAGATTAAGGAAGACTGGGAGATGCTTTCTCTGGAAGGTAGGATTTCAGCTAAGGCTCGAAGGAAGCCAGGAGATAAAGGAAAGGAGGGAGAATATTCAAAGCCTGGGCAACAGCCAGTGAAAACGCAGGCTGGAAGTGCCAAGAAGATTTTTAAGTGAATTCTATAAAACGTTAACATGATTCCAATCTCACATAAACTTTAAAAACAAAAAGGAAGCAGCCTGCTAAATTCTATGATACAAATATCATCTAAACTAAAGCAGTGAGAGAGATGCAGACAGATACATGCAATAGACATAGAAAACCTTTCAACACAATAGAGCATCCATTTTGTTTAAAA